CACTAAAAATGGATAAGTTGTTTTGTTCTACTTACTAACAATATAAAAATGAATACACAAGATTTAGCCAACAATTTAGTCAAAGGTTACTAGTTGTAGTATGTATTTTAAACATATTAAAAATATTTGTATTTTTTTATGTTTGCAAATGTTGAAATACTCAATCTAGCAGTTCTACTATTTTAATTTTCTATAGACATCAGAATTGTTGGCCAAAAATCTTGTGTTCATATTTGCAAGTTTTGTGTGAAATTTTATTTCCAATAATGAAAGAAGTATTCAACTAAATGATACCTGATGTAGACCTATAGCCAAAACTAGTAATGTTTTTTAATATCTTTTATTTACAAGTTTTTTTTAAGATGATAAATTTTATTAATATAAGTTGTTTGAAGATGTTGAAGTATCCTCAGAAAAGCACTTTGTTTAAATGTTTACTTCGTGACATTGATGATAAATCAGAAAATATACAAAATATAACTAGTGAGATTACTAGTTGTTGAAAAATTTACCAAACAAATAGCAAAATATAAAATGCTAATATTACTGTTTACATTTTGCAAAGGTGACCTTTTTCAAGTAAAAGTCACTAATGAGAACAAGTAATGTTTAAATACTTTAGGTTCTTAGACCAATGCATGTAATGAGGGCTGGCATGACCAACGATACATGTTAAACAAATTACATAAATTGAAACTAACAAAACAAACTGAAGGTACAATATAAGTGAAGTATATAAATTACTATGCACATACATATACACGAGTACACATGTATATGATGAACTAAAATATTAAAATAGTTAAAATCTGAAACTTTATGGAATAATAAAATCAAAAATGTTATACTGTTGTAGGCATATTTGTTATACATAAACATACATAAAAAAGCATATCTATGTTTATACAAAAATTTGGCTTGTTTCGTATAAAGAGATACAACTTATCTAGTGAATGTATAGAATAAGATTACAGACTGGTAAAATACTGCTTGATAGTCACAAGTTCAAACATTATTTTATATTGCAGAAGATCTTGTTTTTGTTGGAGCATTAGTTAAGATTAATTTTTAAATGTTCATAGGTATAATCATTGGAATTGGAATGGTAAGATATTAGTTTAAAGCAGCACATGTTATTAACATGGGTTACATACACTTAGCCCTTGGGATAAAATTTAAAAATTATCTTTATGTGGAGCAGATATCATGTGAGGATAAAAAGAATGTAGAAAACTAAGTTCATGCTATCAAACACGGATATTTTTTGGTGCATTTTCACTGTACAATGAAACAGTAAACATATATCAGCATTGCCAGTTTTACTTGTTAAAGATAGAGAATAAGGTTATCATGGGTATAAAATTAGTCATTATTTTGTACAAAACAATATTCTAGTCTGAAGTGAACTAACAGTATTTCAGCAAAATGGTGACTACATTCTCTATCTTTACTACATATAAATTTTTTGACTGATACAATTCCAAGATAGTTTCCAACAAAGTTTCATTTTGTGGTTGGATTCATCATGAAATTTGCTCATGTGAATAATGGATGAAAATGATGTTGATCAATAAACATAAACTATTTTCTGGACATTTTTGAAAGAAAAGGTCCAAAACTTTTCAGATTGGAACCTTTACCTTTGGGTTTGGTGTAGTTACTGCAAAAACATTTTTTTTCAACACAGTGCCTCACCTCTTAACATAGAATAGCTTGCTTGATTTCTTTCATCTGTCTATGACATTTGCATGCCTCTTGCCTTGAGCTACCTCCTTCCTAGACTGTATGTGACTGTTAATTTTTGTTTAAGTTTAACTGTTTTAGTGTTCATGTTCACATAACCAGAATGATTTATTTAATTTCACTTAGAAAAAGTAATTAGTGATTACCTACCGTTATGACTTGAGTGACAGTAGCAATCACTTTGTCTGTTGATTCATGCTGTTGGAAAAACACGTAGGTTCAAGAAGTCTTGATAGAAATGAATAAAAACCTTAGTCTCTTGATAGTAATGATATTCCTAACACTGGACCTGTCACTACTGAGAGCTCGTTGTCTGTGAAGACGTGACAGCCATTGCTCAATGTGTTGTGGGATCTTTTGTGCACACAGGGCCTCTTCATCCCATCTGTTTGGCTAACATTTCTTTTCCCAATTTGAACATGATGAAAATGACAAATTTGATTGGCTATTTTCTCATCACTGAACATCATATGTTGTTGCCAAATGAGCCAGCCACCTGGAAGTAAAAATTCTTGGCATAAAATATATATTGGCTGACCTCAAACTAGTTGAGATTAAGGTCATAAAGGAAAATAAAACAAAAATTCCCTCACCAGGGTTTAATATATGCACAGTTTTATGTGTGGAATGAAATCCTCACTCTTTTAATCTCTTCCTTGATATCTTTCGTTCCCTTGTGTCTTTTGATTCCTCTCGTACTTTACTACACAAAATTCATACTTATATTTACTTTGTTTTACTTCCTTTCACTGATTTTAGGATCTATGTGGACCGTTCTCAGGTAACTACACACCTGTTCTAATGTGTCTTGTCCTGCTCATGTACTTGACTCCTTTATCATGATTTACAGCTTCATTTCTGTTCCTTGAATCCCAGTCTTTGGAATCTCTTATCTGCTTGGGGGCAGACCCCTTAATTTCTACTTATCTTTCTTGTGACTAATTTTCATGGCATTGTCTCTTTCTTAACCCACCTGTGTTACAGATCATCACTTCTCTTTATTAGTGAAGCACTTCATTGTTCTCAGGAGAGGTTTTCTGGAGTGGCTCATTCTCTTCTTTTCACCACATTGGCCCATAATTCTTTTGCTCTATCCCTCCTTACTTGGTTCCTCTGATGTTGGGTCTTGTAAGGAATGGATGCTCTCTGTACCTTTCCATCATGCTTATTTCTGTGATCTTTGTTGGGCTCCTTTTTTTTGCCTAGGGCTCTTCGGGGTTGTTCCTGACTCACTGCAGACATGGGCCAAGGCAGCCCAGCATCAGCCCTTATTATCTATTTTGGCTTCTCATCCTTCTCAACCTTGTTTTTCTGTTTCTACTCTTAACCTTGCTGAATCCATGTTTCCCTTTTTTATTACAGCTTCCTGGCTTTCTTCTCATCGTCCTACTTCCAACATCAAGGTTGTTTGTTGTCTCATTAATGACTATCCCATCAGGATTAGTTCTGTGAAAGTCCATTTGTCTCTCTTTGTTAGCCTTTGTTCTTGTCTTCATTTTCAGTTGACCTCTTCAGGTTCTTACTCATAACCAATCCCTCCATCTCTTGGCCAGGAATACCATCAAGAGCATTCACCCCTATTCTGGGTTAACTCTATGACTACAGGCTGGGTGGATTCTATTCAGCCCATATCCACCAAAGTAACCATGAGAACAATTATAGTACAACTTTTAATAATATACACATATCTTCATGAAATTGTGCAGGTTATCAGTAATTGTTACAAGGCTTTCCTACACAAAATACCAGATTTTTTAATTAACTATTAAGATTTTTGTTTAAAGATTTCCTTATGAATTTTTTTCTTTTAGAATGTTGACTATCCAACATGCAAAGTAATTTTGATTTTAAGATTAAAAATTCTATTATTAATCTAAAAATTGTCAAATTTCATATGTGAAATCTCTAACTTTGTAATAACCTCCAGATAACTATCAAATGTTATATTTTATTTGTTACCTTCTCTATCTTACAGTCCTTCATTTTAATAAATACAAGTAGAGCTATAAATTGCTCTCCTCAGAACAAAAATTATTTTCATATTACTCATTGATGACATCTTTGATTCTGTTACGTATCTGCTTGTTTGTAAATTTCCCGTAGAAATCCTTTCCGAGAAACTGCAGCGATACAAGTCCTTTCTTAATTAAAACTAGTTTATTCTTTCTTGATAAAACTTTGCAATACACAGAATTTCC